AACGGACGAAACTGAGAGACAACAAACGGACAATGCGCGTTATTGAATGATTTCTAGAGAATTTTGAGAAAACACAGGGAGGTTTACTAGTGTAGTGAATGGATCCGCCTGAACGGATTTCTGTGAACGAGAGAAGCCCAAGCAAGTCAGTCTTTCCACCCTCATTCCAGCTGCCCTATGTTCCACGCGTACTGTATGCAAATTTTCCGTCTTGAGCCTCGAATCTCATCAGGTTATCAAAAAGAATGAATGTATGCATAGGAAGACGATTGGAAATCACATGTTATAAAGCGCACGTAGGTTTGCAGCCCGTGTTTCACCCCCTGAAAAATTTCATTCTGAACTTTTTGCAAAAGCGCATTTTACTACCAGTAATTATGCGCTAATAAGGTTGTTTTCCTTACTTCAAGAGTTGCTTAAACAATTCCAAATCGATGGTACACTTTATCAAGAGATTTACTGTTAGAATAAATCAACAAACTGCAAAGAAGCAACCGACAACTTTCAAGATACTGTAGCCGTCTGGCTAACAGAAGTGAAATTACACTGCTACTTAGGGAATCCGGAAGTAAAAAATTACGGCTTCTACAAAATAAGATAGAGCCACACCTGTAATGTGTGATCATGTCCAGCGATGTAAGCCGTAGCTCGATACTGTTCGAGTAGTGGTTTGAGTTTCTCAATTAAGCAATCCATTGATCCGTGCTCCGACACGGAATACAGTGGATAGTGGCCTACAACGAACAAATAATCTGCCCTGAAAATGAATACTTTGTAAAGTAACAGCAGAAGCACAGTTGATGTAAGGATTTCATGCTAGTGATGTTACTGAGATGCAACTGTGCTCCGAGGATTTCATGCCCGTGTATAATGGATCAACAAGAAGCTTCGTCAACTTCCCTTCAAAAATAAACCTATTTATGAAGCTGATACTTGGGCAAAGCTGAATGCTCTCAAATTTACTCTTATTCGCTCTCAGTTTTACCGAGGCATCAGCTTTATAAATAGGGAGGCCCTCCACTGGCGACCGGATTTTCTTTTACAAGCTGTTGACCTCATAGTGACACAAATGCTTACTTTGAACTGCTTAGTTGCTCCTGAATCCAGTCCATTTGTGCTCGTGCAGCTGCCTCATCCTTTGGAGAGTTCGGATTTTTGTCAACCGTTGCAAAAAGCATTTCGAAAAAGCCCGCTTCCACAACATCGCGTGTGTTACCACAAAGAACAATGGTGTCAAGCATCAAAAACTCCACTGTTGTTTTATCTGATCCGAAAGCATACGACACCTTGTAATAGCTTGACGGATATGTCCTGAATATAAAACACGTTAAAAACCTAAAACACGTCAAAAATTCAAGAATTCACTTCCCCCCCCCCCTTGTATTCAGTCCCTGTGAGAAACAGTGGCACTCAGAAATAATACCCTGTGAGAAACAGTGGCACTCAGAAATAATGCAGAAGTACCACTCGCTGACAAAGCTGCCGATGGATCCCTTTTCAGAAGGTTTCTTAGAAGCAAGCTAATGACAACCTTGTTCCAGTTCTGTTAAGTCAGCACCAGTTTACTATCAAAACGAATGAACGAATCATAGAGGGACTGGTTATCACCCTGCCAGAATTAAACTCTCGACCTCTAACTTGACAGCGAGCTACTTAATATTGGATTATAAAAGATACATTTCATGAAATCAAATTTTTTGCTTCAAACCATTCACTGTCTAAAAAGCGAAACCTTTAGAGCAGCCTACGATAGCATCTGTGTAAAATTCAAACCGTTTATTACCAAAATTAGCAAGAATGTTATTGTGAAGCTATGATGTTACAGATACGCTGTTCGGGGCTACCCGCGAACAGCCGGCAACAACTGGAAATGTGGAGCACAAGAGCCGATGGTAAAGTTGATGACATGTCATGGTTTGAAGGATCCTGTGATAGCCACGACGGAGAATTCAGTCCCGTCCCGGTCCGATTTTTGCAAAAAAGCTCCAAAGGAAATAGACAAATTCCGAACATTTATATGGTATAATTATTTTTACCCAGCGGATTAAAATCATCTGTTAGTCAACAGAATCTTTTGGCAACTGGAAGACGAGAAAAACCGTATCAGTGAGAATAGTTTCGGGCTTATACTGAAGGCAAGGTGATTTTTTGCATGAAAATGCTTATTTCGATTAAAAGGCACTCTATTTTGAGTGCTTCTGTCAGCATTAGACACACTAACCATCCGCTGAAACAAGCAATTCGCAGTGAAATACTTTAAATTGGAAAGCAAACGAGAATTTGGTACCATCGATGACTTCGGTTTGTATAAGCTACTTGCCCAGAAATATTTCCAAAGTGATCATGATTGCCAGCAATCATATACCATGGCTTTTCTAAAGCTGCACCTCTGTATACATTCTCAAATGTTGCCTGAATAAAGATACATTAAATATCAAAGTCTCAAAATAGTTATCGGCTTCTCTTCACAAAAGTAAAAAATACCTAAATTGATGAGTATTATTCTAATTCGGCCTCATTTTTACTTAGTTACTCTTTTTCCACTCGAAAAGCTGTGTGAGATTATGTTTGGTTGGAAGACGCTCAGAGAAGGATGGAGAAGTTGCTAGCTGCAGCAGTGGCAAAAAGAAACGCTACGATGAAGCAACGGTTACTCAAAGAAACATTTTTAGCAGTAAATTTAGTCTTAGCATTAAATTTGATATTTTTAGACCTATCATTTTACTTTGTTAAGGCAAATTAGTAGATTTAACCTACTTAAAGGTCTTTTTAGGATTAAGTCGTGTGGATCAAGTTTTTTTTTTCATTTATGCATTTCTTTTCACACAAAATTGGTTCTGAAAAACTTTCTCGGCCTTCATTTGCAGATAGACTGCAGCATTGCTTTGAATGCTCTGTTACGACTGGACTGAAACATTGTTGTTTGGACTTTTTCGCTTTTACTTTTTTTCGTTTGCTTTCCTAAAGAAAAAGCACGATGTTAATCATTTTTCACTACATACATATATTTTTAAAAAAAAACAATCCAAATTCTTCCAAATCGTTCTGAATATTGAGTCATTTGTTCACTTTTTTCGGAATTTGACATCTTCGGGCTAAATAAGTCTCCTCAAATGTTACTTTTTCTGCAAACTCGAGCGTACTTAATCGAGCTTTGCGACTTACTTGAAATCTGTGATCAAATTCATCTTTGACACCTGTGAAATAAATGTTGTCACCAGCCGAAATTGTAAATTCAGTATTTTTATCATCACCTATTTTGGCCAGCGACTTTGCAACAACATTTTGCGCATATGTCGTATATGGGTAGACGGGCAAACCTGGAAAATTTTTGAGGTAATTAGCGGAAAATGAAGAAACACGCTTCTATGCAGGGGTTAAAATTCACCAAAATCTTTGAGTTCGTTTAGATTATTAGGCTAGTGCGCTTGATTTCTTCCGAGATTATGCCAAACGTGAGCACGCCAACTGTTGGACTGGTTGTTTTCGTAAGTAGGACCAGAAGAACCAGCAGCGCGGTGATTTTCCTTTTCGCGGTACCAGCCATCGGATCGCTAATGTCCACAAATCGTCAACTAAGCAGACAGAATAAGCCATTTTTTCGCTTTTTTTTTTACTTCTACTAACTTCGGATTTCTATTGATGTTCTGAACACCATTCATCTGACTTAGCGATTGATCACTCAATGGCCACAAAGATATACTTTTGATTTCTACCAAATCTCAGCTAGCGTGAAATTCCGCTTACTGCCTTCCTCATCGTCTACAGTATGTCTTCCCCATATGCTTCCATCGGTCTTTTTATCCATCCATAGTCAAAATAATTGTACTACAGAAAGCCAAAAATTAATTTGACAAAAATGAAAAAATACAACTAATATAAAGAAACGAGTGACAGGATAGTCAGCAAATTGACCACCAAGCGATGGAGCACTGGTCAAAGCAATTAGAAAAGTTAGCTGTGTAGCTGGAGAACCGAAAGAAATTACAGATGAACAAAGTATCAAAGTAAGTATACATGTGCTTCATATACGAAAAATACTAACCACCGGTATCGCCTACGATGAAAAACCGAAGCTTGTTACTGTTTTTATAACAAATACCACCATTTAGGCATGCCAACCGACATGCGTAACTTCCGAGCG